CCTCGCCCCGCCCCCCCGGAGGAAATAAACTACAACAAGTAAAAACCTGCAGACTCTTTTTATTAAATTCTCCCGTTTCATCTGTACAGAAAAAAATGCACATTATTATGTTCAGAATCTCAGCAACATCTCAAAATTACACAGCATGAACATGTAAAAAAAAAAACCCAAACAAGGACCGGCCAGGATTTATACACAGAAAGGGAAAACAATTTACAAAAAAAGTCTCATTAATGTCACATTTAGAACTAAAAAGAAGAGAGACTACGTTCAAACAGCTTCTGCTGTACAATAGGAATCGGCTGGGTCTGGTTTGTACACTGTGGGGGAGGCCTGCAGTGCCGTCCCGAAGGAGTGTGCTGGGGTACCCCCTCACCTCCCCGAAAAACCCGGCTCTGGTTTCTCTGGTACGCTGCCCAGTCCAACACAAACATCAGTCACAGCTTCTGATCGCCTCCATGCGGCACGAGCGTCTACGGGCGACAGTCACACCTCTCCCTTTTCCCCACGTTCAGTATTTCCCAAGGCGAGAGCCAGGCGAGCCCTTCCGCTCAGCAAATACAGGGGGGCCATGGGGCGGGATTTCGGGGTGCAGCGATCCACCCAGGAAGGGATCTACTCGCTTTCGGTCAGCTATGGAATGAAATCCGGGTGTTGTGTAAGGAGAAAACAGCAACCTGCCTTTGGCCAGGGAGTGGCAATCCGCTATTACTCCTCCCTCTCCCACACAAGGCAGCGTTCGGAACTCGACAGAGGGGGTACGACGCGGAATTCCACCAGTACAGGGCAAACAGCGGTACCAGCCCAATTCTTTCCCCGGGCGCGTGTGATTTGGGTCCCCTCTAACCACGATTCGTGAGCGGAAGCGAGCCGGCAGGTTTGGCCTCCACGCAGGGAGGCTGCACAAAGATCGGTACCTGGGAGCTGCCTTGAAGATTTTAAACCCCGTAATTAAGAATGTACTTCGATACAAACCAACACTACAGCTGTTTGAGTCCACAGAGCTCTATTTTAAATAGGGACAGAAGTGCTAGATGAAAGGTTCCGGTTTCATACCACACCCATGCACTCACACACACCTCAAAACTACCTTTTTTTTTTTTTTAAACAAAACTGATAAAGCAAAAAACAAGAAGTACTACAATCTTCTTTCAACTAAATAATAAAGTTGTGTTTTAACAGAAGTCGCCGTCCAACTTGAACACAATTCCTCTACAACATTATGGGATTCGAGTGACCCCTCTGGCTTGCCGCATTTCTTCCCTCCGCACCCACCCCCAGTTAGTTTCTGTTCTTAGAGACATTCACTCCTCCCCGCCATTTTTCGTACAACGCGCTTACTGTGGATTCTTTCAGAACAAGACTGATTCTATTTGCATGGATTTTTAAGTGTCAGATTCTGGGTGAAACGCTTAAATTTTGTTACAGGACTATTTGAACTCCACTGGGGCTTCTCCAGCCCTTTGCAGTGACACAAACATACGGGTACTCAGCTCGCTGGACAGGACTTTTCTTCCTACCCAGATGAGTTATTCCTGCAGCCTGAATGACAGAGGCGAGGCAGGAGAATGCCAAGTCGAAACTCAGCAAAAGGACTCGATGAGACCCACTAGGTAAACAATAAATAAGCTTGTTAAGGTCAACGAGAATGAACACTAACGGGCTAGCAGGAGTGAAGTAACGAGGTGCGCATCATGCACAGTCCCCCTTAACCCACGTCATCTAAACCCGCGCCGTCATTTAGGAAACGTAACTTGTTAACCCTCGGAGCAGCAGGAGGGAAACGGAGAGCTGCATGCCTTGCTAGGTCCCAGTCATCTAGCCCTTCCATACACCCCCAGGGGCATCAGCATCACCACGTTTAGCATCAGCTCTCCAAGAGCCTCCTCAAGTTCAAGGCAACAGCAGTGTTTCTTACAACCATTTCTTTCTTTCCCCGCAATGGAAAATGGGTACCTGCAGGCAAGAGGTTGTGTGGGCAACAGCACAGGCAGGTTATTTTTGGAGGAGTACTTGTGTGGGCTTCTGTGCTTTTGAGACCTCTAGATTTTTAGGTAAATGTGAAAAGGAGGAGGCTGTTTCAAGACTGGGATGGTAGATTTCTAGTCACGAAAAAAGCAGATTTCGTCATTGGCAGTGGCAGGAGGCCCCATTTTAAAACGTGAAGAGAGAACGATGCTCAATGATAAAATGGCCTGGACCCTTTGCCAGTGTCATACCTTTAAAAGGTGGGTCTGTGCCCTTACAGTGACAAAGGGCATCTGAGGAAATCATGCAGAAATTTATTTAGCATCGTACCTTTGCTTCAGAGGGCCTCCACACACATACCTCTAACACCACCCCAGAGCACTCGCACTGAAACCGAATTCCCAGGTGAGCCTGCTGACACAGTCCGAAACACCACCGACCATAGACCACAGACTCCTAACGCAGCGCTCCAGGCACCCGACCTTCTCTAAATTAAAAAGCAAAAAAACCCCAGAAAGCCTTGTATCTGAAAGTAAAGAAGGTCGCCTTCAGAGCTGAACAGGGTTTACATTCAGAACTATGGCTACAAACCTACAATTTTCACTGCAATGTCTTTTGGAATTTAGTGGAAGATGCTATTTCTAGACAATAAGCCATCTAATTAGGCTTTTCAAGCTAATCAGGTTACAAAACGCCTTTTCAGAAAGTCACAACAGTTTAAAAAAAGCCCTCCGACAGCAATTTAATTATGCCTGATAGACATTTCGAGAAGCAGGACTTGTGCCAAGCAAGCCAGGCTGCACAAAGATCCCACTTCCCTTGCCGGCAGCTCTGCAAACACACCCATCTCTACAGCAATAATTTCAGCACTCCGTCAAGTGAAACAATATATACTTATAATTGCCAAACTAACATTTGTGGTGTTATACACCTGTGCTACCTCAAGAGACACGATCAACCGTCCCTCTTCTGCTCCACTTCACATTGAGAGAGGGCCAGTTAAGCTCCGTTAGCACCAGGGAAGAGGGGCGAGAGAAAGAATTCAGGCTTAACGTCGGTTCTACCTAACCACTTAACTGGAATCCTACCATGCACTAATTCTCCACTGAACCTTCATTGCTCAGACTTTCTCTACTGCTTGCCTTGAGTTCATAGTACTTTGATAAAAAACCAGAAGTGTTTGTGAAAGACTCACTAGCGTAGTAAGTCTAAAACCATATCACTAATAGTTTGCTGTCCATCCTCAGAGTGGGATGAAGGTACGTTGGCAAAAAGCTTCAGTTGCGGCAAAAGCTCATAGTATTTTGTATACACCATTCTGTTCACGCAGCATCATCAGAATCAGCTGGTCCACACTCCAAAAAGTCTCAAAACCACCTCCGCTGTTCTTCTAGAGAACGACGCGGAGAACTGGAAGTGTCAGGTCTTACCTAGCAGTGCACTAAGTGGGAAAATAAAGTTACGGTTCAAGCATCAGCCTAAGTTGGACACTTTCAGGCACATGATTTTTGCTGCAGCACACGCAGGTGAGCACATCTAAAAGGCGAATAAAGCGTATCCTACTGTACACACGGACTCTCGTGCAGTCACTTCTAGATTTCACCAACACACTCAACGTTTCAGCCAAAGCACATGGCTTATGACCTCCTTGTACTCGAGGAGCACAGGTGATGGTCAGAAGAGGCCACAACTACTGGTGCAGCTTTTCTAAAACACCTTCTTTGGGCTCTCGGGTGCAAGTATCACGTTCTGGGAGTGTAACTATATACAGCGAGAGCGCACGCCCTGACGGTAACAGTGTGAAAGCTACTTCCCTTAACGATCCAGCTGGTTCTGCCTTTCCTACACCACTATCATCCTCCCATCCACTCCTGCTTGGCCTTCTGGACCAGCACCTGTGTCCTACATCCCAGAAAACGCCAGTTGCTATCCCTTATCAATTGTAGCTGTGGAAACGAAAAACACTCTTCGGTGCTACCACTCGAACCATCGAGACCCAGACAGGCCAGTTACAAACCACCGCGCTAGCCCACAAGTAACCGTTTTACAGACAGAGCACGTTGAGCCTTCAGTCGCTTTCTGCATCGCTGACAAAGCACCGTACTGCCAGCGCGTCAATACCATCTGTAATAGTTAATTCGGAAGGGTAATAGCTCGGCAGCAGCGAGGTAAAGTAAAAGGAGTGTTAGAATTTTACTGTATCGTCCCTAATAAAAAAGTTGACCGAGTAACAGATCAGGGCACTTAATGCCCGCTGACAGCAGTGCTGTACGCCACTGACAGGCTCTACATGCCTCGCGTCTACACCATGTCTTTAATCTACTGAAATACAAGTTGTACAGCTCACATGAGTGTTTGATCCTGGTCAGTATTTTATTCTATCTTGCGAGTGGCAGAGGAAGAAAGGGAGGACATCTTTTCAGCCAAAAAAATCCACAGTAACAAAAGCAGGATATTCATTAGAAGATGACACCAGTGACTGGTGTCCTTAGGTTGTCCAAGACTATGCTCTGAAGATGCTTTACATAAGATGAGCAAGATGTCCAAAACAAGGCCAACTGTGGTGTAAGATGCAATTTACCCTTTAATTTCCTGCCTCAATTTCACCCAGCCACAGAGGATGACTAGATTTCAGTATGAACCATTACCTAAATCATATAGTCGGTATGTCTTTCTTTAAAAATTTACTTAAAAACTGCTTGAGCTGCAGGTCATATCAGTCTGATTTGGAGAGTGAAGGCAGTTCCAACAGTACAATAGAGACTTGTCTACAGGCAGGTAAACGAGAGTCTGCTAACAAAGGGGTAATAAAAGCTGCTGGCTGGGCTGCCAGTGTTGCACACAAACTTTCATAGGATGAAGATGCTGTGGATGAGATCCAGGATGGGAAAACTGAGCCAACACCTGCTGCTGTTCTAATTTTTTTTTTTTTTTTTTTTCTAGAGCCAAAGCTGTTCATAGTAGCTTTCCTCAATAAGAAAGAGGGGGTGGGTAGACTATACAGAGGAGGGCTGTACAAAACTGGGCACTGGGCAGGCATTTCTTCAGCAGGCAATCCAGGCTCTACCTGTCCTTGAGCTCTCTTGTCACCCGCTTGGTGATGCGTCCACACATCAGGCCGATCAGGAAGAGTACACAGATGCCGACCGTGATCACAGACAGTATGTAGTTCTTGGACGGAGAGGTCATAACTTGCATGGCAAGGTCAGAAAAGCCTTCCGCTGGGGCAACCTGGAGGTGAGAAGGGAATAAATGAGCCAAGCTGCGCTTTCCATGTGACCCTCAGCCTCGGCATTTATCAAGTTTAGTCTCCGGTACTGCTATTGCCTCCTGTCATCGTCAGACTCGGCCTGAACCACAAACAAGCAGGCCTGCAATGATTCATCCGAAGGAACTGCTGCTCAGGAGACAGCTTTGTTAACAGGAAGTTCTGCTGACCCTATTTCATTGCCCCAGACCTTCTCTACAGCAGACCAAGCCCTGTGTGCACAAACGACAGTTTAATTCTGCACTGTTGGGGATGCATCCCAGACACTGAGAGAGTAAGGTATCCAAGTTCAAAAAAGGACACCCGATTTCAATTTTTCTGGACCAAACTCAAAATGCTAACTTCAGAGACAAGAATTTCATTGCAGTTGAAACCTCTCATAAATAGCTTGCAACAGAAAGATCCAATGCAAAAAAAAGGAGGTAGCTTACTGAAATCCTTTACATAGTCACCTTTGCAGCATAGCTCCACATTTCAATACGATCATTAAGGCGTTTCTTGCATTCAGGCTGCAACCTCACACGCTTATCTTCCAGAGCTTCCATTAAGCATGACATTTCTGTAATGCGGAGAAGATGGTGTCACAAAATAGAAACGCTGGCTTCAACAACATGCTACGGGAAGGCTGCTGGAAAGGGACACTTCCATTCTACTGAAGGCTGACGGTTACATAGCTTTCTAAACAGACTAGCCAGCCTGACAGACTGGATACGAAGCCCTGTTGTACCCTTGATGCTAGCAATTTCACTAAGATTCATGATTAATATTGCATTTTGAGGTGCAAGGAATTTTGACTTCCAAAAAGAAATTACAGTATGTATCCAAGATGTAATTCATGCAACTTTATCAAGTCTTAAAAATTTGCACCTTCAGTGAGCTGTACTCTAAATTCCACGCCACCACCCTTTAGAGAGAACTAAGATCAAATTCAGCTCAGGAAAAAACACAGTGTATCTCCTTAGGCTCGTTAGGAGTTTCTTTTGATCAACAAAATGTTTTGGAAAGGTTTAACTTCCTGAGTTTTCGCACAGTTCTGTGCAAAGGAAATGGGATCCCAATGTTCTGGGTGCCTACGGGGCGCCTTGGCTAATTCATAAGCTCTTTTATATGCTCATGAGACACTGACAATTATTTTATACTTACACTACCTTACTTGAATAATCCCTAATTGGATGCTTTCTGCTTTGCACCGAAGAGTTATTTTGTTCATAGCAAAAAGGCTGCAAACTTTAAGCTAACTCCAGACTTTTTAAACACAATTGTCAGTTCAAACACTCGGAGGCAGAGCCCTCTCTAAGCTACAAACTTCTGCATACCTTCAGTGCAAACGCGTCAGAACACACATCAAAAGAATTACGACAAAACAGGAATAAATAAAGGATATCCAGAATTTCAGAAAGGCATTCAGAAACCAGCACGAAAGATAATGATCAGGAAAATACTTGGCTGCTATTTTTAATGCCAGATAAACTCAGAAAGATGGCAAAGTTCAGAACTTTTTTCCTCACTAGCTTTCCTTAAACAGCCATACTAGCCTATTAACAGTAACAAAGTACAAGAGCTCGACCTCAAACAGGGAAAGAATGGGTTAGGAAATAAACAAATTATGTTTCAAGTGGTCTGAACCTGATGAACTCAGTCTTAGGGGGCTTGGAACAGTTGCTGAAGTCTCAAAGCCTTTAGCTGCTATGTGAACTTACAAAATGTAGTAAAGATTACCTACCCTCTGTAATATTGGAAAAGAAAGAAAACGGTACATTTAAGCAAAGAAAAAAGACGATCAAAGGACTTCAGTTCAATTTTGTCTGTCAAAAACACTGAAACAAAGAAGCCAACCATGGACAAAGACTGACATAAAGAAAGAAGGACCAAGGGGGTTTAGCTACAAATGAATCTTGTGAAACCAAATTGATTTGCTTCTGCAAGAGAAGCAGCTTAGTTCCAGGAAAGCTTTTGATGCAGTCCGATGTAACACTGTCCTAAGCAAGCTTAAGCTTGGGAGCTGTATCCTGTGTGAAGCTGATACAGGGTGGGAGATAAGCCTCACTGAAAAATGAGTCCATGTACTTCAGACCATGTCTATTAAGAGCTTGTTTTCAACAGGCTTTAACTGAGGAGGGATTTTGCAAAAGGGTTACGGATCTGGTATCACATGCTATTGTCAGTAATCATATGAATGATGGAATATAAAATGTACTGATTAAATTTGCAGATAAGGCTGCAAGGATATTATATCAGGATTGAAGAACTGGTCCCACCCTGAACACAAGGAAAGGCCTTCTTGATAGCCATCTTCTAGTGGCATCTACCACCTCTGCAGCCATTCCACTGCATTACCCGCGAAGGACTGGTGGAAAGATCCGGTACCTAAGATAGGCTGCATTCTCTTACCAGCATTAAGGCCCTCAGGACTGAGAGGTTATACGAGTAAAGCACGAGCACTTACGGCGTCCTCTCCCTGGTGGAATGGCAGCACAGTGGTGTTTGATGTCTAGGGCACAGGCTGTGTGGAGCACTGGGTCAACAAATATATCTGCTTTGCTTTCTTTCAGCATGTTGAGCACTTCCTAGGGAGGGGGGAATTACAAGTACATCTCAAAAAAAGGAGAGAGAACAAAACTCATACTGCTCTGTTTCTGAAAGGCGCATCATCTTTTTAAATCCAGGATCATGAGAAAAAACACCACTGTCCCTGGATGAGGCTATGAATGCTGGTTTAGGCTGGATTAAATGTCCTGGTTTATAAGGGTTACCATAGTTGTGGTCATTAAAATACCCATATTAATCTAAAATACAAAGTCAATATGCCAGGGTTACTTCAGTTAGAACTGAAATAAGGTGCCACAGCCACGGGGGCAACTCATACAGCCCCTGATCATAGCCAGTGCCTAGGCCATACCCAGCACTCAGGAAGCCTGCAATGGAGACAGCAACAGAAAACAGATTAGTAACATGAAATTTTGGCAACCATAATCAAGAAAGAATCAAAGCCTGGAATTGCAAAGGAGGCATTGTCGGCACAATTTTCACTGGCAAACTGAAATTGAATTGAATCTCTGCAGGCCAGAAATGAGATGTGTAAGGAAATTTGCAGAGCTCTGGCTTCATACTAGCTAGAACATGGCCTGGGCTGTGATCTGGAAAAATGACCGACTTCTGCAGGGGCGGGATGCCTTTTAGAGCACATTCAATTTATTGCCTTTACCTTCTTGCACATTTCAGTTTTTATTTTCAGCAGATTCACTTTCAGACATTCTTCCACCTGCCCAGTCTGCTCCTGAGCTGCTGCTTCTTCCGCACACAAGTTGGAAATCTATTTTGAAAAAGGTATTTTAATGTAAGTAGTTCACAACAATTATTCAGCCTTTTAGCACATTTATATCTCAATGTATCAGTTCATCACAGGGTGCAGCTAGAGAGCACACAATGAGATACTTCGCTCCCCAGAATCCCCAGAGCCAAATGCAGTTTGGCTCACGCAATATGCATACCCTTCGAAACCCAACAGCAAGGAGTCAATGTTACGGTACTGAGAGGAAAGCTGGGAGGAAAACAGCGTAAAAATAATGTTAAGATATGAAATAAGCAATACTTGAGACATGACTGATTCGGCTTTCAAAAGTGCAAGCTCAAAATCTGACTGTATTCCAGTTAAGGTTGACAAGACCAGAGAACCAGCACACCTTTTTTTACAACAGGAAAGCAGTATTTTTCCATAGTCACGAGTACTGATGAGATCCCAGATGAAAAAATTAATTTTATATTAGCGCTGCACAGGAAACTGCAATTCTTGCACACCAGACAAAAATGACAAGCAGAGAGCCTGACTAGCTAGAAGCAGTTCAAAGGGGTTTTTTGTCTGTTTTAATTATCAGGACAGTTCATGCTTTAAGAAACAAAATCTGTTTCACGAAGGGAGTTTCCATCCTGAAAAAGTAGCTGCTGAGCTACTTCTCCTACCTCTTCAGAACAGTGCATCTGAAGTTGGGGATCCAGCCGATAATCAAGAGCTGATTCCTGGATTATCACTCGAATTTGGTCCTCGCAGTCTGGAGAGAGACGCTATTAAGCGGAGAAAGTCATTAACCCACTCAATGACCTTTCTTTTCAGAAATCAATCACCTTGCATTTTAACCTGTGTATTCTGTAACACTTGTATAGGAGCGTAAAAACTCATTTATGTGCAGCCTGTTACATACATCAAACACACCACAAGCCCAAGTTTGATTTGTTATTCAGTGACTGTTGCTCAGCACAATCCTGCACAGCTTCTCATTTGCATGCACCAGCTCTACTCACCTGGTCTGCGTATTTCAGCTTCAGGCATGAGATGACTTGTCCTTCCAACTCTGTATCATCCTTGGCCCTATTCAGGATATTTTGGCAGAATTTCGGTATGTCTGCTTTGCACGCCTTCCTGAGCACTGGATTTAAGCGGTAGTCTAACCGGGAAAGATGACAGAACTTCACTGGAGTACACATCTCTTCAGATTACAGAACATAACACTCAGAGATTTGATAGAAATTTCCCGGATGACGTTGTACCACTGATACATTTAATTTTGGGGAAAAATAGTATTTTTTCACAACAGAGTTTTAACTTGTGAGGTAAGAGCTTCAGGAAGAAAGTGGATCCAATAACGCATGCTGACCCTCAAGAACTTGACTGAATAAAGTCAGTGTGTGCTCTGACAACCACGAAGGAGAGTAAAACAAAGCAAATATTCTTTCAGCCATGCAGAGACCACTCAACGGCTCAGGCAGGTAAGTTTTTTTCAGAAGAAGGTACCTGTGTTCTGTGTAATCTGGCGCTTGGTAATCATTTGCTTGCATTTAGGATCCATCACTTCACTGTTCTTGTTTTGTTTCAAACACTGCAACATATTTTTTGAGTCTGCCTCTGGACAAAACCGCTACAAAAAACCCCAAAACCCCCAAGTTTCATCACTAAGCACTTGAGAAAAACAAAACAACACAACACAACCATATTCATGGAAAAGAATAACCACCTGCCCAACCCAGAGGTATACAGACACACTCTCTAGCCCCAACACCTCCTATTAAAAAGAACAGTGCTACTCTCTAAATTGACTACGGGCACGAATATCTCTGCTTGCTGAGCACTAAGCTGTACAGTCTTGACTGGCTTCTAGGCACCAGCTTGTGTTGGCAGTATCAAAAGCAATTTGCCTTTATTTTCTGTTAACTTACAGCACACTTTGCAAGAAATACCCACCAAATTATACTTTCGCTCCCCTTTATTTTAGACACTAAAAATGGAATCTCTTAAGCCTATACTGCTGTTCTGCACAAATGCTGGCTGGACAAAGCAACAGGTAAAGACTTCATTAGTAACACTCAGGACTAAGCCAGACCATACAGAACTAGAAAGCAGAGAACAGCTCACTGATACTAATTTGCCCATTCCTGCCCTGAATTAGATAGTCAAAAGTGAACCAGCTTACGCAAAATTCAGACCAAGGTACTAATTTCTTTTGTTAGAAACTAATTCTGTGGGTGTAAGATAAGGCTGTTGCATCTTCTAATCCTCACCATTTTGGTGAGATTACAGGTCTTTTTTAAAAAGCATGAGTCTGTACTGGAGAGCAATAAATTCTCAAGATATTCTGCTTCGGCCACAATACAGACTCAGGGTACTGCGTCCAGACCACACATACTAGTGTTTCAGGCCTTGCAATTCTGGCTACTGTGCAAGAGTGTCTTGTATTAACATTCACTGCTGCTTTCCACGTGGTACCACTTCAAGCCAGCATTTCTAATTTTAAGTTTTGCGTGATTTTGCCTGCTTTATCAGTTTGATGAAAGTCTGCGTGCACTATGTCGGCAGCGAACTGAAGATGTTACTCCTCTCTGTAATCATTAACTTCTTCACCTTTGCTAGAAGCCAATCCAAATCCAAACCGACCGGATGAAAACTGTATTAGAAGCCTCAGCACAGACTTCCTCCTCAATTCTGCTGGCAGTTAGGAAGGAATTTATTAGTGCACAGGCTTTGATCAGATATTTAGAGGAAGTACATTTGAAGAGAAGAGCCCTGAAGAAACCTCAGCCTGATTCAGAGTTAAGAAACTGATTACTTTGCAAAAAAGCAATCATACTTCCGAAACAACACAGCAGTCTTGTAAACAAGCCTTTATGGGAATCTCAAAACGGGTAGAACTCTTGCACCCCAACCTCACCCTCTTAAATCAGCACACTACCATTACCTTGATCATCTGCTTGCAGACTCTCATGAGCGTGTAGTCCAGTTCCGGATCCATCATCTCTGTCTCCTGCAGTTTAAACACCTTCTGGTGGCACCGGGTACTCAACTGCTTCTTGATTTCTTTCAGGCATTCGATAATCTACAACACAGTATTGCAATCATAACAGACACATTGTTGATATGATTCTGTCATATGCTGCTCAAAACACGCAGCTATGTGTTCCCCTAATGGCTATCTTCACCTGATTTATGCAGTTAGGTTCCCAATGCCTAGATTTTATCAAAAGTCATTACCAACGCTTATTTCCAAGACTTGCTTTAAGCTCATCTTTTCTCACAAAGATTTAATGAGAGGAAGAGGGCCACCTGGACTTACTCCAAAACCCCACCTCGTCTTGCAGACATTATGCCTAAGAAATTTTTAGCAACATTTGCAGTAACCAGCTGCTAATAGCTTAAAACTAGCATTAATTGAGGAATGAATTGCTCACAGCATTGCATTCACCCAATATTAATGCTTGTGAACCAGTGGGGGAAAAAAGATTATGCTCCAAAATACTAATGAAAGATTTCGGTGGTATCAAAATGAAAATCACAGGGGCAAAAGTGTTCTTCAAAAGTTTTCTGAAATGGAAGTACAAATTAAATTGTAAATTATTAATAAAATCCATTACCTGAGCATTGCCATAGGGCACGTTTTGGCAGTAATTCTTGATGTCACTTTTACAAGCCTCATACAGTTCTGGTTCAAGTCTGATATCCTCAGTCTGCAGGATAAATTACAATACCAACTTTTAAATAGGACTCTAAAGACTATTTTACTTTGTTAATCTATTAACTAGAGCCCTCTACTAACAAAAAGCAAGCAACTCTCACAACAGGCAGGTCGGTTTCTTCGAATTTAAGGGTCTTGGGCATGAGAGGTGGTGTTAGTGGGAAATCAACTTTGCAAATCCATGCAGTGGATCAGTTGGCTTTTTACACTGAAGAAAGGGTTTAAACCGAATTTTAGAGCTGGCAAGTTGTTTCCACTGCTCCTCCCAAAAGGGCATCGACACAAACGTCCAAGACAGCCAAAAGACATATTAATAACCACTCATCTATTGGGTGATCTGGAGGATGTGAAGTTTCCTGCTTTTAGTGATGCCCAGCATTTGAATTCTTCCATACAAAGGCAAGAGTGCTGCATCTTCTGATACGGGCCTACTTAAAGTGAAGCTTTAACACTCAAACAATATCTACTGGACAAAGACCTCACGAGTTCATTGCTGCAAGCACTGCAGCAGGAAGTTGAGAGGCAGCCTTGCGTACCAGAACAAATACTACTCTTATTTATCCACTGAGCATCTTAGAGCAGCTGGAGTCGAGTTGCTTCATCTGTGCTTGTTTCCTCAGTCTGTAAAATGAAGCTTTTATTCTCTCCTAGAGGACTTTAGGGACATCAGCATGTGTAGCACACTGCTGTCTAACACTAAACATAATCACTTCCAGCTGAAATTCCAATGACTATTTAGCTTGCCTTAGCCTTCATGAGACTATATTTAAGGAATTAAGGTAGACAATCATTACTTTCACCGTGAAGGGCAATTGAGACTCATGTTGTAAGAAGAGTGGAAAAAATAAATTAGATACATCTTACAAATGAGCTTCCTCTTTTTTCCAGGGTGGACAAACCAGGAAGCTTTAATTCAAGGACCTCACTAGAAGAGCAGGCAGATCAGGAGTTTCATGCATGTTTACCATCTCTAGCTCCTCAACACGCAGCTGTTTGCGGCACTTCAGAGAGACCCTGTGCTCCTTGGCATCCTGCAAAGTATCATTGCGCACAGTTGTGCTCAGACAGATCACTACATCCACCCTGCAGAAAAGAAAACAGCTTTTTACCCATATACCCTTCACTTAGACCAGCCAAGATTGGTGTTGGATCACCACATCAGAGAAATTCACCCCAAGAATCCAAACACACCACAAAGTCCTTGTGCATCTATGCTTACTTGTAGCCTGGGTACGGCTCTATGTAGAGTAACTGGATCACAATTAAAACCTAAATCTGATGCTATCTAATTGGAGTCTAGATCAGCAGACAGGAAGATATTCAAAATCCCACCACACCCCTGCCCAGCAAGACCTCGGCTCCTAAGTCATGGGAGCACTGTAGAAAAGCTTTACTTAATCTCAGAAATAGATGAAGGTCAATACCTACATGGCATTGCAAACAATCCTTTTGCATTATGGGAAGGGCATTTATATCATAAAATGCAAATAGTCTTGCCATCCATGAACAGGATTGACCTTGTATGTAATTTACCCTTATGTCATGGCAGTAGGCCATTAAAAAACCCCTTAAACTGAAATGAATAAACCAGCTAAAACAAGTGGGATATTTTCCCTTCCCAGATCAGCAACTGGAACAACGGTAGCCTGCATCTTAGAAGACGATGAATCCAGCAAGGACATAAAACAGCCTGGGACATGCAGTCCACTAATCATAATCATTAGCTATTTTCAGAGCAAGAAAAATAAAGAGGACAGGCTTGTATGCAAGAGTAAAGCAGAAGTAATTTTAAAAGAGGCAAGCAATGCCTCTACCTTAAGCATCTGCAGAATGGAGTCACTAAGGGAAAACACACAAACCAATCAGCCTTTAAAGGAAGTCCAGCGTTTTCTGTCCTATCATGAAATATCCTGTAACTTTATTATGTATTTATACAGTCAGATTGCTGTTTGGTCAGGTGCTACATACTTTTTTTTGATGTTGGGGCAAAGTTTCAGCACATCCTCCTTGCAAGCCATTTTAAACTTGTATGAGAACCTAAAATCTTTCATTTGAACCTGCAAGAGAGAAATGAGGAAAACAACTTTGGTTACCCAGAGGAAAAAAAAAAAAAAAAAGAAAAAAGAACACTTGTTGACCCATACAATCAGCAGATGCTTTTGTCCATAACTTATTACTGTGGAAGCAAGGAGGACGCTGCACTGCTGAAGAAGCTGGCACCCTATCTACCATACGCCAGGAAGGAAGGAGGGCCTGAAAATAAATCATCTCCAGAAGTGACCATTTATGACCAGGCATGCATGCTCATGTGAATTCACAAGAGCACTTTAAATACAGTAGGAAATCAATCTCAAAGAAGGAGGGGTTTCATAATTAGCTAATTCCTGTCAACACCCTCAACGAACAGAACAAGCTTCCACTGAGAGCAGAGGAAAGCGCTGCTTACCAGCTGGAAATGAGTAACTCCAATTGCACATTTTTCATTCATTTCCTTCTGGTGTTTGTTCTGTATTAGACACTCCATCAGGTCCCCAGAATCAATTTGGTTATCCGCAACCTCCTGAAGAAGAGATGAAAAGCTTAAAAACGAGCTACTCTTACAAGTCATGATTTTTATGCTCCTTTAGCCCACTGTGACCAGGAAATAATGGAACTTGCAGTGCCACACTCTATTGTGAGCTTACACTCACCATTACCTGACCACCCAAGAGTTGTACCACACAAGTATTTATAGATATAGTTCAGAAAAGAATCATCTCAGGCACATGCACACTTTAGACTCAGGAGAACATACTGCAGAGACCCAATGCTTACATGAAGTATTACAGCTAGGTGCCTTCACTGCTATTTAACTACTCAATCCTAGAGCAATGTAAGAAGTTATTTCAGCGATGCTGAGCAGCTGCACAGAGTGGAGTGGCTAGACACACTGCTTGCGGGCAAGAGGGAAGGAAAAAGTTTAGTTTTTAACCCACTGTAAAGAGTGATTTTTTTTTCCAATTACAGGGCAATTTTCATCTTCAAACTCCAGCTTTTATGCTAGGGCTCTGACAACAGCAGAAATACTAGATGGAACAAAGAATTTTTGTTTTAGGGTGGTTTTTTAATTAAAGACTTTTATAACTGCTTACATCTGATTTTATTTTTGAAGTGTAGCAAGTACACCAAGAACTAATACTAAAAAACCTTTCCCACAGAGTGTTTTTTCCCCAAAGACATTCACACTATTACGGAGTACTCACATGACAGAACGTCTGGATAATGGGCTCACACGCTCTCATCAGCAAGGCTTCAATTTGAATGTCCTGCAGAAAACATGCAATATTTCATTTTCAGAGTGAATGGACAAGAAAAAAGACTCTAAAAAAACCCCTGTGATAACAAGTTAAACTCAACCCAGTTTACACGGTTTTGAAAGATGCAATCCAGACAGCTTTGCCCTTCAGTTCTGGAAATCCTAAGGTTCACTCTTGCCAGCAATGTGGCAAATGCAAGACAAGCCCCCCAGCTTAAGGGAAAAGCCTGGTCTCCACAGAAACTCACTGCTTGGATATTTCAGCCAACCTTCTCCAAACTGGAAGCTACAGCACTAGAAATCACCTTACACCTAGGCAGGAGTTAAACTAATGATAGTTCTGAACAAACCATTTTGTAACCACTGGGAAGAAGCTTTCCCTAGGGCACAATGTAAATTTTAAGCGACACGGGGAACAGTTTGGGGCAAGACAGTCAAATATGTAGCTTCATAAAATAGGTAAAGCTGCTGACCTCACTGAAAACCTCTAATGATGCACCTGGCAGTTACTTCTTGCAAAATTTTTGGGACAGGGGAAGGAAGTTGCAATATGGTACTCAAAACTACTTGCAAGCAAGACCAAAAAATGAAGTCCCATGACATATCTTGACTTGTATTAAAGATAACTGGGTTACCTGTGCAAGAAATCTTAGCTTCAGTACCATAACTGATTTTAAGCAGGAGAAATGTCATCACCAGTCTAAAATTCAATTCTCTTCCTCAAGAACCCCCCATGAAAACTCACCTTGTACGGGTTAGAATGGATGGTCTCTGCTTGATCCCAGAGAGCTGCATTTCTGCAGCTAACTCTAACCTCACTTTTTTTCATCACTATCAAAATGACATTCTTAACTAGACACACTCAACTCTTCCCTTTATCCCAGGCTGAAAACCGCTCACCTCGGACTCCAGCTCAGTGAGGTTTCCCACTATGTCTCTGCAATCAGACACCAAGTCATCAAGATGGTCCTGAAGGCATTCCAGCTCCTACAAAAACAGACAGTTCAGTGAGTTCAGTTAATTCTTTTCCAAGAACCCAATTTGAAAATTTGGGTTTGAAATACTGTAACACATGTGAAACTGCCCTCCTCCTTGTAAAGTCCTAAGTCTCATTTAATCCCACTCCTCTACTGGCACTCCCAGAACACATATACATTATAGCAATTGAGAATGTTGGTCTAGGATGTTACCGCTTGTTCTCAGAACCTGCATGATGTGCTTTCACTTCTGGAATACGACATTTAATTTGCCCTTCACATAACCTCAATGAGAGGTTAATTACCCAAACTACAACCTATGATGGGCACTTCAAAAAGACAGTGGCGTATACTCTACTGCATCTGCTGTTGAATGGCTCCTCCCCTACAGCTATGCTAAGGCACAGCAATTTAACATGAAATTAATTTTTTGAAACTTTGTTACGTAGCAGCAGATGTTAGTTCAGTTCTGTATAAACACAGGAAGCATGTCAGTATTTGCCAAATGGAAATGGGATAAAGTTTATGTGGGAAATGTCAAGCTTGTAATAGCGTATTACAAATAAGAGTCCGGGTGGGGTGGGGCTGCTTCATTAAAGTCCTTGTTAACTATCCCCTTCCCATTTCACTACGCATTTGAACCTACTGAAGCCATGCAGTAGGTGCAAAGCTTCTTCGTATCACCTCCGTCTCTCAGTCTAGCGGATATTATGTTTGAAACTGCATGCATTTTTAATATATTCTCAGGTATAGAAAGACAGCTAACAACAAGATGTCCCTTTATCCCTTTTTTTGCCCTTCCTGCCCCTCCAGCTCTGCAAATGAATTAGCAGTGTTACTGTGTACAGTACCTGCCCTGTCTCCGTTTTTTCACTGCACCACTTCCCTAAGTCAATCATGCACTTGTCCTGGAGGGCTGGGTCCAGCTTCACATCCATGGCACGCTGATGGAGGATTCTCTGGACCTCTGCTCTGCACTCTCGCGATAGCTGCAAAGAGGGCAAAGAGCGTTTAGCATATGGGGTCTCTCTAAATCCGTACAACACAACCAAGATGCTGTCAGGTGAAGTACTGAGAGTAACCACGAATGCCATCAGCAATCCCAGAAAGTACAGAAGTTGTCCTGTACTGCTAAGCACAAACCTGCCAGGGCCCCCACAAGCAATCCAGGCTCCAAAAGAGTTTGAAGCTTTGTCATTTAGTTTGGAGGAAGGCTCCTTTCATTCCCCTAAAATAAATCTTATACTCTTAAACCTTCCCTTTGCTTTTGAAATAAGATGTCAAAGCAGGTCCCTAGATTATCTGCTGCACTGCCCCCTTCATTCAAAGCTACAGACTTGCTTCTGGAGAAGAAGGTCAAAATAGCTCATGCCCTCAATACCAAAAGGGAAGCCCAGAATGAGGCAATATAGTCCAGCTGTAATTTCTTCTCAGCAATCCCCACTGCAGCACATCGGAGCCAGCATTTGCCAAGACTGAGGAAGAAAGAAATTGTAGAAAATCAAGGGATACTGGCATGGTGCTTGTCAGACCTAAAATGCACCGGTTGAAGCTTAAAACTTCATACATTTAAAAATCTAAACCACTGGAAGTTACCTAGCATTTTGTGGACAGCACTGGAAAAAAAGTACAGACCTAACCTCTGATGAGTTTGCTTTCAAATGCTAAATTTCAAAATGACAGCTGCTCCCTTAGCCTACCTTCCACAAGAAAGATACATTTAAAAGCCTTTTCTCTCTCTCCGATAGATTATTTGCAGGCTGGCTATTGATTTCTTTGGTCAGCACTAATATAAAATGGAATTAAAAAGTCTCAACTCAGCAGACTAAGAAACTGCATTAAAAAAAATTATTCCTGAAAGAGAGATGCTTTCAATCAATACTTGACCTCTGCCACAAAAGATCTTTTAAATCAAGCTGTAGAAATTAATTTTTAAGCCAGGCCATTGTGTAAACCCACCAACTCCTAGGGGCTGTGTACACTACAGTGCCAAAAGAAATGGAACCGAGTACCCAGCTGCTTTCAAGGGAGTGCCTGGATAAAGGCACAAGAGGGCAGCAAACTTGAAAAGAGTAGCTCTGAACCAAACAAATGTGATTATGGTGGATCTCCGGATTGCAGGGCAGCAAGTCAGATCCCTGCTGTCTTCTTTAAAGACGGCATAAGCACATTTACCAGTACAGTATGCTCCAGAGAATTGAAAGGATGTTTTATAGCCATAGGAAGAATTTAATGGGGTATAATCTGAAGTTGTACTCAAATCAAAACTTAATTAGAAACAGCCTAGGAAAGCTGGGCTTGGAACTCCTTTTTGCATAAAACCAATTTTGCAGCTATGCTAGCGATCTACAAGGAATCGGATTCCTCTTTGGAAAGACAAGGGGAGGACTTGCACTGTGTCTAAACAGATATACATAAGTTGTTGTCAGCACACAGTTCCCCCTGCGGGCAACTGTCACATCTTGATGTGGCTATTTTGCCTTGCCAGAACACCACCACAGACCTCCAAGGCACACTTGAGGAGGAGTTGGGCATCCGAAGCAGTGCAAGTACCACCTACGGTAAATGCTTTTAAGTAGCTTTTGCCAGTTCTTGCAGTTTTAGCACAGTGTGTCCAGCTTCCAAATGTACGTACAACCCTTCTACCACAGATCAAAGAGCAGTAGTTGCACTCAAGCACCTACCCTCCTTCCTTGCTCCTCTGTGCGGTACGCATGCCTGTACAAGCAGGAGAAAACAGCCCCTGGAGGCATCAGCTCACTAGTCTCATTCCAGCCATGAGTATGGCAGAGACGGGAGGCATCTCCCTGACACTTGCGGTAAAGGACTGTATCCAATCTGCAACAGAAGAGTTATCACTAGCACTTTATTCAAACCTTTAACGTTTTTCATATTCTGAAATGCTTTTGAGGCAGAAAAATCTACTTCAAGTTTCATATACCACCACATCATTTAGCAGCGGTGTCTAACCAATTGAACCAACAGGTGGCAAAATGCTTGTCACTCAATTTGGAATCAACTCCCTAATGTTGCAAAAATACACTAAGATCTTTACAGATTAAATCTTAACCGCTTCTTGAAGCGCCTCCCATTCTCTTCTGCAGCATGCCAGCCAAATGCTGACACATGAGAGAAGAAATCATCTCCTTGATGCCCTAAAGCAGCAGAAAAGCAGGTACATACCATGTTTCACTTGTATATCTTATGTGGTTTTGTACTGCTGCCAGTTTGAAATGCCAGTTTCATAGAAATGAGTTAGATTAATTATTGTCTGCTCTGGATTTGAGCTAACTGAAGACTCAGCATCCCTTGCTTTTGCATACAAGAAAACTGCAAGTGCAGATCTCTTCAGATGACATCTAATTACCTTAAAGTGAGATATTGCCAGCTTTCTAAAGTGGAAACTTCAGATTTCTACAACACTTTAGAAGGCAAACATCAAGTGATATCAGTGGACACAATTATATAGATAATGATAAAAGTACTAAGAAAACCAGTTCTACTCCATGCATCTGTGCTAGGCGCACAGTTAATACAACAGTTTTCATAAGCCAGTTTTAGGAAACAGTGGTTAAACAAGAAAGATGAGCCAATGTTGCCCAGCCTGCAATATGAATTAGAATTATCTTTACTCCCAGCAAAACGCAAATACTCAGTCTTCCTTCCTCCAATCACTTAAGTTTGGCTCAAGCAACGAATTACCTGCTGGAAACGTGGTACAGGCAGGAGAACCAGCAATGAAGGGAAAAAGGAAGAGGAGGAAAAAAAATTAGAGTATTCTTGTCTACCCATGAAGACAGCTATCGAGATGACTAAATAAACAGCCACAAAATCCTAAACTCTCTAGTCCATGAAGCCCCATGTATTTTAAAAGCAGAAGGTTCACAGAGCATGTCAGCTCTTAACTACTGGCAATGCTGCCCATAGATACAGCTATGAGTCAGGTTGTCTTAATGTTTGATTTGAATACCCTTTGCAGTAATCAAAGCCCATGACTTCTTGCCTTACACTCCTTGTAGTCACTGAGAACAATTATTCCATTTCTTGAAGTAACCCCATTTGATGTACTGTACTTCCTCACCTCTCAACCTTCTCCAGAAGAAAAGCCAAACACTTGTTCTTTCCTCACTGGTCATGTTTATCAAATTTATACTCTCCTCATCTTAACCCACACAGGCACAGGGGCTCTGTATATATTTAAAACAAAGCACTGCCATCTTTGGATGAGAAAGTTGGAAAAGCAGTGCTCCAAAGGGAATTGCATCTGCTCTACAGGCTGTAATCACACCTAGAGAATTTGAAAAAAGGCAGAAATGGAAGGAGGGAGCCTCTCACAGTGTCTCTTTGTTATACTTAGTAGCTTGGTTTTCTTAACTCCCATATTGTAGCACTCAGAGCAGATAAAACTGGTTACAACCTGCACAGAAAGTGACCTTCAACTTCAATATGGCCAGAGAGACGACTTTTAATTAAAGATACATTGAATTTCAGAGCTCAAACTTGAGATGCTTTTTAGGGTTGCACCATTTCTAAGTGAGTACCTGATTTAAGTGGGCATCACCCTTATTTTCTAAGCAGCTTTTGCTTCTACTGGTCTAGACAGGCATTAATGCCCTACAGACCTGGCATGCTTCAAAGTCCTCTTTTGAACAAGCATAAGCTATACTGTTTTACAAGGAACTGCTAATGCATACAAACACTAAATACAAGCATCAAGTGAGGATAAATCTTGTTTCACAGCACTCACTTCCAATCACGAGATATAAAATACTGGAGCTCCAGGAGCCTATGCTCACAGTCCTCTACCATCTTCTCAGTATACAAGTGCTCCATCAGGCAAGACAGAATCCTGCAAACAGAAGAAAAGTTAGGCAACAGACCGTTATAATCGTGCTGAGCCTCCTTGTAACAGTTGGTGTTGCTAAATCAGTCTTTCCAATGAACCATAGATAAGACGTCCAAACACAGTGAAGATCTTTCTCTTCCTTCAAAAAGATTACATCTAAAACAACCGTATACCACATTTGTACCCTTCTTAAATTCCATTGTTTTAGTTATCTCAGCAAGTCTGATATACGACAAAATCATAAGGAATATTTCATATAAAATCTGGCTCAGGAGACACTATATATCAGACCTGAAGATAAAGGACACGTTTCTCTCTGCAGTATGGATTTGCTTAACTGGCCTTTCAAGGCTTGTTACTTTGCTTTGTGACATTGCTGAAGACTTATGTGGCAAGAGAAATTAGCACATCAAAAGTTACAAATTTAATCTAAGCGCCTGAGATAGCTACGTCCTTCACCAGAGCTAAACCAGCCCTGTTGTAGAAATACTAGCCTGCTTATACCGCAAGAATGAAGACAGAGCTCATTCCTGTTCACACCTCCAACGCTGTATGAATTGCTAGCTTGGAGTCCGTCATTTCTGGACAAGTTTTAGCACCTATACTGGTCAGCCACACAACCTTCATGGATGCCCAACAGAAACAAAAAACCAGCTGTAACCGAGAGCCACCTACATTGGGTCTCCAGACCGTATGTGCTTGCAGGCAGTCTGTATCACCGATTCACAGGCCTCATTCAACGCTCGGTCAATGCGGTAATCTGCACCGGGGTCAGTTTCTTGAATCAGTGTTTGCAGCTGGAAGAAACAAATTGCGGAGAGGAAAACAAAATTATAATAATCAAAATGAGAGCACTTACAACTTCTCAGCGTGGCAATTCTATGCCAATAACAACACTACCAGGTATGACCTCTGCTCTACAGTTGCTTATTTCAAGCAGTTTTGCTGCCAACTCGATTACCAGACATGGGAGTCCAGTGCTGCTGAAAGGAGCATTGGAGGAGACTGATCACGCACTGAAGGTCAACTGTATTCCTCAACCGCTTATATGCCAATTTACAAAATGGAACTGGCAAAATTTGAATATTGTATTTTTGATCCATCTTCATCCCATAAGGCTGATGATACCAAACATGCAAATTTGTCACACTTCCATGAAGACTATCTACTGTTCTAAACTGAAACCCAAATCGATGTTTAAAGGCCAGTTGCCTAACTACAAACAAAGCTTGAAAACGTTTTTGAATTGCCTGGAGAGGACACAAAAGTTTCACTGAAATACGGGATAAAATGTCCCGTTCTGCTGGCCCATGAAATGTCATTTCCTCAGGTACGCCTGCTCAAGCTTTTGGAAGCCAGGGTAACCACAATTTGGTCTATATTAAAGAATTTTTAATATATATAAAGATAAAACTATGTAATTAGTAAACATTTTAAAATTTTATATTATTATATAAAATTAGCATTAATGTTATTATAAATACTATAAAATTATTATAAATACTATTGTATTATAAAATAATTATACTATATAAAATTTTATATTTAAAAATAATATAAAATTTTTTATATATATCATACATATACACACATATAACAAAAGCAGGGCATCAGTTTTTAATCTACTTAAGAGAAGCCATGGTATAAGCGAAAGATGAAAACAAAAACTTCCCAAAGATTGAGAGACCAGGTGTGCTAACTTGAAGCTGTGATATCCCTGCACTCCTTTTGTGACTTCTGAATACTTTCAACTGTCATAGGTAAACACAGTATGAACAGTTTCATCAAGTCCTTTCTTCTTGCAAAACCGTTATTCTGATTAAAGCTTCAGAAAAATAACTGTCTCATTAATAAGGAAACACAGTTTAGCATCCACAGCACTAAGTTTCCAAATCAGATCCAGACACAGCCCATGGCATCTGAACATGAATTTGGGAGGCATCTGCTGCGCCAGGGGAAGGGAATTTGGGTAAGTCTCATAATCTCACTTAATCTCTCGTTTTGGGCAGAAGGGTAGCTTTGTGGGCCACTACTCAGCCCAGGATCCCCACGCCCCACCTCATTTCTCACCAAGCATTGTCTTCCCAAAGTCTGAACAGGCAGACATAGGGCAGAGACTGCTATCATTCCACAGGCAAACATTTATAGCTGACAAAGTTGGAGCAAAAAGAGAGCTTGCTCAGAAGGCAACTGCACACCGACATCAAATGGTCTACACTGTTAACATCCTGACACTTACTTAATGACTTTTGTCACTGGCCCCCAGCCCAGCTAAATCAAAAGCACAGTTACAATTTTATCCTCCATCTTTCAAAGTCTGCACCTAAACACCACCCAGGAAACTTCCAGGGGCAAAGCCCTAACATCACAAAACACGGAGAAGAAAAAGAAAAAGGCATCAGAGAACTGGAGAAGATACAAGCTAGCGCGATTTATCTGATAGGAAGCTTGTAATCAGGAGGACAGACCACAGACTGCCTGGGAGGAACACAGGATTTCCTGCAACTCGCTCTTGGCCAAAGTTAATTAGGCCCAGCCTCAGCTTCTAAGGGATGCAGAGAGCTCAGAAGAGCGCTGCCTAGCAGGCACAAGCTGTTGATTCAAAAATTCTTGGGATATTTTCACTAAAAAATAATAATAAAAAAAGAAACATTTTATACGACTGACAGCAGTCAAACAGAAGCCAATACAGGATCCAGTTCATAATAGGGATCTGCACCTTAATCAGCAGGAGAAGTGAGAAGTTCTTTACAAACTTTGTAAGAGTCAATGCAAGGAGTAGAATGCAGTCGTTCTGCTGGCATGCACACACACACACAGCCTGCACGGACGGGCAATATGCTGCACGTAAAGTGCTGGGCTCACTTCGTGTCAGATGTTTACATATAAAAAGGGATCAAGTATGATTACTGGAATTACTCCCTCAAGGACAAATGGGTGAATAAAACCTCAAACCTGACACTTTCTTACACACACAGATTAAATAAACTGGCCAGAGATTTATATAGGCAGGATTCTTCCTCAGGTCTCAGTTTAAGTGGTGTTTGTGTTGCTATCAAGTGGAAGAGGCCAAAGTGCACTGGGTACGACAGCTCGGAAGCACCAGATTGCCTCCTACAGTCTCTCTGCCCTGTTTTGGGCACTACTGCAGGATTCCCAGTCCCGATTCTCAACCACGTGCAAGATGTGCAGCAGCAAGCCAGCTGCCCTGACTGCAGGGGCGAGGGAGTAATTTGGCACCAGTAATAAAAGTGAAGGTTTTATAGGATTTTCCTCCCTCCTACAACAAACCCTTGCAGCTGAAAAGCAGCTGGATAACCTTTATAATCCTCTGAACTTTTATCCTGATGTGTGTGGAACTAACAATTAACTATCGACTTATTAGCTGTATTAGAAATTGAAAGCAGAAATATCTGCCCTTTTAGCAAGGATCATAGTTTTACCTGCTCAAGGGACTGAACAGAAAAAACAAAGATGAGACCAGAGCAAAATAAAAGTCACGTATTTGATAAACAGTTTCCCAGCAGCTCTAGCACAAAATATTGCTTCCACTGAGCAGCACCACAGGTGCTAGACACTGCCAGTACAGCTGCTGGATCTTTTAAGGGCTGATGCTCACAATTAAGGGACGCATATATCTGCTGTCTGATGATCCACAGCATCACAGACCCACTC